AATGCACAAGCGACAAAGTGCATTGCATCCTTCCCTGGCAAATACAGTGCCGAGTGGCTTTGGTTTGCTTTGAGTATCAGTGATTTTGTGTGTATTGGTGTCGTTGCTGAATGGATGTTGGGATATTTTTGGTACGGGGACGTTTGTAGTGGAGCTTCGCAAATTGTTAGAGAATCCAAGGTGGGACCAAGCTGTCTCAAGCATTCAGGAGGAGCAGACTTGCTCGCTGGCATGTGTGTTCTTGACAGAGAGAGCTTCCGGCTTAGGAGGCCACGCGGACAACCCCGATACACCTGGGCACTGCTGGTGCCGGATGATCTATGGCAAGTTGCCGGCGGAGACGTATCTCAGCGTGGTGGACATGGAAGACAGCAGTGATGGACCTATGACCGAAGAGAAGCTTTGGCTGTACTGCTCATGAAGGCTTCTTTGCAAAGGTCATTGAGATGTACTTTTTCCCGCAAACGCAAAAGAACACCTGCAAACCAATGCAGGAACACGCAGGTGCTATGTAGCAGGTGTGTCATTCTTGTTGTTTCAAGGAATGGACACGTACCAACATTTTTCAGAGAATTCCCAGGAAGCTGGCCTTCAAGAAGGCGGATGCCGATGCTATGGGGCAGGTATTGGTGATCAAAGAGGATCAACCACAGCTGGAATGGGAGGTCGAGCTGTCCCACGCGTTGCGCGACGCAGAAATCAAATGCAACGAAAATCATGGCAAAGCCCCCTGGGGATGTCAATGGTTTGAAGAGTCGCTCGGGGTAAGTTTCAGACGAAGCGTTTTTGAGTTTTGTTTCCATAGCCTTACAAACCTTCGCATGAAACACCTCATATGATTAAACTTGCTTTACTATTTCTGGTTCGTTCTAAATAGTACAGTAACATTGAACAACCAAGGTGGCGGAAGAATGTCGATGCAGCTGTAAAAATGGAGCAGTCCCTCCACGTCTTTTATTTCGAAAGTTCCTTAGAGTTTTTGGCAGACTTTGCCTCTCTCGGTTCTGGTTTTTTCCCCAAGATGCGCCATGATGTGTCTGTGTTGCCAGTGTCAAAGGTTTGCATTTGTTGAACTGCTGAGCTACCCTTGTTTGCACATTTGTTTTTAAACCCCCGTCTCTCTTCCCACAACGTGTCGCCATGCTCCACCTCTGACTCAAGGTAAAGCCGGCTTTGGCAAACTCACATGGGAGAAGTTGCGCGATGCAAAGGCCAGGAAGGAAGCGCTGAAGAACACCGGCCTGGGTGCCTCACAGACGGCTGAAGTGGCGTACTTGGAGAAGTTGGGCTCTTTTGGCTGCAGTTGTTTGGGCTCAAAGGTGTTCGAAGATGTGCTGGAACTAGGAGTTTAGGATATTGTTTTGATTCTTTCCATGTATTTGTTTCTGGCTTGTATGAATGAGGTGGCATAATTGAGTCATGATGGGTCATGATTTTGAGCATGTTCGAACCAAGTCTTCAAGCTCTTGACTGCGCTACCTGTGAAAATGTCAGAATCCTGGGAGTCATTTGGATCGAATCGCCAAGGCTTGACATATGAGGAGCACGACATCAGAGAGTTCCAAGACTTTTTGCTGAAGCCGCTTGGTGTCATCGGCTGTATATGTCAACCTGGTACATGACAAGTAGACATCAGGACAGGAACTACATTGGACATGTTGTCTTAGGCGGATAATCAGTACAATCATGTACGGATAAACTATGATACAATGCAAAGGCTGCAGTTGCACCAGCTATGATGGCAGCATTAGAGTTGCCACTTCTACAACAAGCATGCTACATTTGGAAAACACGAGCGTTCGAAGAGGCTGCGCACGGTATAATGCTTGGCCATTGTGATTTAATTTCTGGTTTGCCGCCAAGTAGCAAGGAAGAGCCTACCATGTCATTCGGTCAGAAACATTTTTCCTAGGAATGACATTCATAGCCACTGTTGTGCCTTGAGTGTTTGTTTGATTTTGTTTGACCCCCGGCCACCTCTCCACAGTCAAGCCCGTTCCGATCCCAGGTCAAACCTGGCAGAAGAAGCACAGAGGGAACGCAACATGATGCAGCAAGCCCGCACCGTTTGCAGCGTGTGATGGAGGTGAATGCCATTGGCATCCGGTGCGGCTGTGCACTGCCAAGTTGTAGGTGAGTGCGACGAGGGGAGCAAGCCAGTGTCCACATGATTCTGTTGCGCAGCTACAACGACTGATAATGTTGTAGTTGCAGTTGCAGTTGACAGTTCGGAACGCCGTGCGCTTGCAAAGCTTGTCGTTGCGGCCTTTCTTCTTTTTTCTGCTGTCTTGTGACAATGTCCAAGACTTCTGATTTTGCAGACATTCAGCTTGCACTTCTGCTGATCTCAAAAGGAACACGTGCAGTTTGATGCAGTTTGCAATGCTTTCGGAGTGGTGAACACGGGACGGTCATGTCAGATTCTTCTGGCCCGAGATGTGCAGGCACTAGTGTGGGCCTGTCCGAGGAACACGCAGCTGGATCCCTGGCAGGCCGACACAGCACCCGACAGTTACAACTATCGACTTGGCCTTAGCACGGCCTCGGGCTCAGGTAAGGTCAGCGTAAACGGATGGGAAGGGCGTTGTTGGGTCTTCGGTTTCGGGCTCTGGTGACCCATTCATGAGGCCCATTGTTGGCAGTCTGGATCGGATTGGTTGACATGGACTGTGCATGTTGATGTGTGTTAGCTGTTGTTTAGCTTGCGGCTGAACGCCTCAGACGAGGCCATAGGTGACCGTAGCTGGCTGGGGTGCTTGTCAATGCACGGCAGTGCCGTTTCTCTTGCAGTGTTAGGGCGCGTGCAGAAGGCGGGAGAGAAGCTGACAGACGCCAACAATGACCCGCGCTAGGGCACCGATCATCCCTGAAGTTTGGAATGTTTCTGAAATCAAAGGCTCCAAGGGCTTAGGCGGTTCAAGTGGTTTGGGTGGCTTAGCTTGATTTAAACTGGGGTTTAGGAGAGCAGGTGCGAATAAAAGGAGGAAGGGAAGGGGTTGCCAAAATGGGGTGGTACAGAACTAGCTCGGAACAGCCATTGGAGCGCCTTGCTCTGGCCACCCGTGCGCCGCCATTGAGTGACAGAACTCTGCAGTACCTGCACTGAGCGCTACTGTAAGTATCCTAGACGATGTGAATTATGGTTTATTCCTTGCTATGGACAACGTAAACCTGAGCACCATGTTCCTTTCAGTATTCAGCATGTAATTGCAAGGCCCCGCTAGAAGATACCCAACATGCACTCTTCGTACTCAGTGGCTCTGAGATCAAAAACCCAAACCAAACTTCTCTGGAGCACAAACATGTGTCGTGAATCCTGCTTCTCACCCAGTGCTTCTCACCCAGGCCGCCTCCGCTGCGCGATGCCTGGGGGCTCAGGGAAGTCTAAAAGTTGGGAGGGCGGTTGAGGGTTTCAAGTCCTTAACTCCAGCTCTAAGCCTACATCATGGCACTGGAAGAAATCCTTGTGGTTGACTTAAGAGAGTGAGGCCCCGAGAGATTCTAGTCCTTGTCTCTCGGGAACCTCTCGCAAGCCTAAGCTCCGGCACCCTGCTGGTAGCTTGCGGCAAAGAGATTCCGGTCTTATGGTGGTGCATCAGTGGAGTTAAACCCTAAACCCTAAACTGCAGGCTGTTGAGCATTGAGCCCTACGTGTAGCCTGCCAAGTTTCATTGCCAAGAGCCTCAAGCACGACTGGGGCCGGAAACTCCTCCAGCTGAAGGCCCCCCTCCCGAATCCTCGGAGTCTGAAGTTTAGGGTTTAGGGTTTAGGGTTAGGGTTTAGGGTCTGAAGTCTTGACACTAAGCCCTAAACCCCAAACCCGAAACCCTAAGCCCTAAACCCCAAAGCTGAACCCCAGGAAAGTGGACTGTGGGATGACCTTCAACACCTTGACTTCCGGACCCTGGCCCCGAACACCGAACCTTTTGACAAACGGCGAAATCCTCCCCCTAATATCAATCCCCCCCCTTACCCCCTAATATTAAATACACCCTGTATACTATAATAACTATAATACTATTTGCTATGAGGGGGACACGGGTGTTTATCCTCGAAGATTGCATCGAAACCTGCACTCCGCGGAAGTGCAAAGTCCCAGCCGCCTTTGGAGAGCGAGGCGGAGTTGGAGCCCCAGACGTCTCAGCTCAAGTACGTGCGGCGCAGAACGCGGCCGCCTCCGCGCATCTGAGCGACACCGCGGGCTCCTCACCTTTTGGGGGATCGTTCGGATCCGATGATAAGGGTTTGGGGTTTAGGGTAGAAGGTCCCGATCGATTTTTTGAGTAGGGTGGTTTCCAGACAGTGAACCCATCGCGACCATGTCGCCCGACCTTGCAAACCCGGCGATGAAAAGGCGGGGCCTGGCTAGAACTTGTCATTGGGGTTCGGGCTTCAGTGCTTGAGGGTTCGGGGGTAAAGGTTTGATGAAGGTTCAGGGTGTGTCTCTTAGCTTTTGGGTTTCTGGTTTCGGAGTTTGGGCCTTTAGGGCTTTTTCGTTTTCGAGCCTGAGATTGTCATTCTTCAAGTTTCCCTGTCCGAAGCCGTCAAAGGGTTGGGGCATCTTCGGACTTCTACCGAGCATTTCGGCATAGGTTTATAGGGTTTTCAAGGGAGGGGTTCATGGGGGGTAGGTACCTAGGGAACCTTAGGGGAGCTGAGGGAGCCTTAGGGAGTAGCAGGGAGCCCCTTGAACCCGAAAAAGGCCTGGTGAAGCTCCTCCTCCTGCCTCTAAGAAACCATGTCTGATCGGTGGAGGGGTCTAGGCTCAGATGGAGCTGAAGGCCGCCATGCGAATCGAAGTCTACAAGGCCCTAAATACGGGTATGGCATCGTGCCCACCATGCTCTCAGTCCACGCATTTTGGAGGTTGCAGTGGGGACAGCAGGGGGAGACAGTGAATGGGAGCCTGAAGCCATTTGCTTCTTTTTTGGCTCAGACTTGCAACAGCCCGAACCTCGAAGACACCGCAATGCTTTGAATTCCTGAACACACTCATCCCTACTGGCGGGGCAATCCAAAATGGCTGCACCTTTGGGGGAACCACCGACGCTCTAGGGTTTTTTGAAGTGGTTTTTAGGCTGTTCACATGGCGGACTTCCTACATTCGTACCCCGCAAGCAACAGCAGGGGTTATCGCCAAGAAGTCACTGTTTTATCCGATGTAGGGGGGGCATCAGTCTAGGGGGTTGTAAGCTGAAGAGCTTAGGTTCTTTCGGATTTGTGGTTGTAGGGTTTGGGGGATGCCGCGCTCGCGGTCGCAACCGGCCCATCCGGGTTGGCGACCAAAGCGGTCCCCAAAACGGGGTGTCCGCGGCGCTCTGCGCGCCACGCCGCTGGCTTGCAAACCGTTGGGGTTGGGAATGTTGCTCGGCTTTGGTGGGCTATGGACCCTGGCAACCCGAGAGATTGTGGTTCCGGATTGTTTTGGCGACTGGGACCGGAGTTTACAGTTGGGGTTTTGAGATCTGGGGAGGAGCTCAGGGTTAAGGGGGTGCTTGGGTCGGGGGGGCAAAGGTATTATGATATTGAGCCAGTGGCATTCCGACAGCGCTTCAGCTCCTTTTTTCGCGTTGTTTTAACCCCAGCTACCCCCACATGCCAAATTGACGTCGTGCTAGCAGCTGACTGCATCGGCTTCGATGAGGACGCCAACCCCAAGCGCCGGAGGCTGACTCGGCTTCCCTTTACTTCCAGTTACCCTCCATTTCAGGTAAGTCCCTCTAAGCTCCATGTCGTGGACGGGTTTGCATTAGGAGCAAGAGACAAGAGTAAGGCACCGTCTGGCGCGTTTGTGGCAGCACCGACGCCTGGGCTCCGTGGCTGCTTCAACAGCCCCCATGCTAGTAACCGTCCCCTTCGCCGTCCTATTTCCAAGAGAACCATCAAGCCATGTATTTGTAACAGTTTTTGCCTATTTTGCGGGCTTCCTTGGGGAGTTTCCTATTTCCAAGAGAACCATCAAGCCATGCTATTGTAACAGTGCTATTCGGTGGCTTGCTGGGGAGTTTCCGGGATCGGGATGATTCTGGAACGCTTCTTGAGGGCTGACTCGGCTTCCCTTTACTCCAAGTTACCTTCCCTTTCAGGTTAAGTCCATCTAAGCTCCATGTCGTTGGAAGGGTTGTTGCATTAGGAGCAAGACAAGAGTTAAGGCACCGTCTGGCTTTTTTTTTTTTTTTTTTTTTTTTGTGTGGACAGCACCGACGCTGGGGCTCAGTGGCTGCTTCAACAGCCCACATGCTAGTAACCGTCCCCCTTCGCCGTCTTATTTCCAAGAGAACCATCAAGCCATTGCTATTGTACCCAAGTGCCGATTTCGCGTGGCCTTGCTTGGGGAGTTGCCGGGATCGGTTGATTTCTGGAAGCTTGCTGGGCTGACTCGGCTCCGTTACTTCAGTTACCCTCCCTTTCAGGTTAAGTCCTCTAAGCTCCAGGTCGTGGAAGGGTGTTGCTTCTCTCAGCTAAAACAAGAAAGGCATCCCTTCTTACTTCATCTCCTCTTCTAGGGAAGTCGGCTCGAACAAAAGGCACAACCAGAGCGCCAAAAAAGGTAGGGCTGAGGAGGAGGAGGAGGAGGCGGAGGGGAGGAGGAGGATGACGAGGCCAGCAACCCAGGCAACGCCCTACAGCCCGAGCCCTCAAATCCGTTTATACTCTGAAGGGATTATTCAGGGACCGATTCCTAAGATCTAGCAAGTCAGGGCTGGAGGGGATTCGCGGGGATTGAGGGTTTAGGGTGCTTGGGGCGGGGGGGGGGGGGGGGGGGGGGGGGGGGGGGGCAACTAAGGCCGCTTCCGGTGTGTTGCCCAAAAATCCCTAAAACCTAAAACCCTAAACCCTTAACCCTAATTGACGGTCTAAGCAGACCCAGGCCTGTGCTCAAACCCGCGCCCGAAAATTGAGCCTTGAACTCTAAGCATTTAGCCCAGCCTGGCATTCAGAAGGCGTTGCAGGCCCCAAGACGATGTACCAATAGGTGTCGCGCGGTTTTCGGGAACTGAGGCTGGGTGAACATCCAAGAAAACCCTAAAATAGTTTAGCCCACAGGGTATTGCAAATGACTGTAAAGGCATGAATGGCCCAATCGTTAGTGTTTGGCCAAGGCCCGTCTCCTCCTCGCCGAAGCTATATGATGGCGACTTTGATCAGCATCTTCAATGCTGTGTACTGTAAGCTGTTATGTGCCACGCAAGCAATAGACATCCTAAACCCCAATCCTAAAAGCCTAGAACCCTAAACCCTAAACCCAGGCGTCTCGGCTTGCAGCGAAACGAATCTAAACCCTAACTTATTTTTCAAACAGCCCCAAGCCTGTGCAGTAGTATACGAGCCCTAAACATACGCCGTAAGTTCTGAACTCAAACGAAATTCACATGCTACACTGACATAGTCCGACACAATTGCACCACCCTAAACTCTTAACCCCCAAACCAGAGCGCCACAAAGGTGTGGGCGGAGGACGCCGATGAAGAGGCCAGCCACCCAGGCAACACGAACCTTCAAAATCCGCTTACACCCTTGAACGGATTATGCAGCGGACTGATTCCCGAATCTCTTGATTCCCTTCTACAGATCTAGTCAGTCAGGGCCCGAGGGATTTGCGGCTTTGAGTGTTTGGAGTGCCGGCGCGTACTCCAAAAGAAAGCCTAAGTCCCAATCCTGAAACCCTAAGCCCTTGGAAAAGGTTTCGTAAGGGTTGGGAGGGCTTTGGCGGTGTTGTGGAAGCTTTTCAGGACTTCTTGGAAGGCCAAGTCGGCGACTCCTGAGATTGTGAAAGGCTCAGTGGAACAACCGGGAGCTCAAAGCTCGTGAAAGTCAAACGCTGATCAGAAACGCTGTTTGGGTGCCGACTCATAGGGCCCCGCAGTTTCTGAGTTTCTGCGTGTCACGTGGATTCGTGGATTCGTGGACTCGTGGATTCGTCCCAACCCATGACCGAAGAGTTCACGGAGTTTGTATTCAAGAGCTGGTTGAGTTCCTACAGCTAGTCGTAGACGGAGTCAGCGTCTGCTAAAGTCTTCTGTCGTATCCGTGGCGAGTCTCTGCAAGCAGGCCGAATTCGTTTAGTTGCAGGATTGCACATCTGCCGCAAGCAGGATGTCATTCCAGGATTTGCGATCGGAGCGGCGCGAAGACTGCCATTCTCCTTGTCATGGTGCAAAAGAGCACTGTCATAACATAGGTGATTCACCCGGCTCTTTGCTAAACCATCTAGTGCTCGGAAGACGAGCAAATGCATCCCGGGTACATGTCGCAAAGGAAGAAACAAAGAAACACTCGTAGAAATGGTAACTGCGATGCGTATAGTAAGGGTAAGTAAGAGTTGTGATGGCAGCGACGGTGAAGGCTTGCTGTGCTTGTAGGCCAGATTCTTTGTCAGTCTTTCGCGCGTTGATGGCCTTTTCGCCTTCAGAAGCAGGTGCCACCTCTCCCTTTTTACTCCACACTGCAGTGGGGGCGTGGGCAAGCGCCGGAACCCAGGGCGTGGGCAGCAGCGGGGGCGTGGGCATGCACTGGAGCCCCCTGAAAACACTTCATGTCAAAGTTGGGGGTAGAGCCAGAGCTTAAGGGTGAAGGGATGGGGGGGGGGGTGTGGTAGGGCAGCAGGAAGGGCGGAAGGGCCCCTTAAAACTTCATTTCAAGGTGGGGGGAGGGGCCACCTCAGCGTCCCGAAGCCCTGGACATATTTCTTCATGTCAGCTCGTAACTGTAACAGGATCAATCTGCTGCCACTCCCTTTTACTTCCTTTTGTTGGTGATGAAGCGGTGCTTGTGTCTGGGAGGCCTCGGTCATCATGAACGTTCGCGCTGAAGTCGGTGCTGCGGGATGCTCGAAGTTGGGGGCAGTCCGGCCCTAAACCCTAAACCCTAAACCCTAAACCCTAAACCCTAAACCCTAAACCCTAAACCCTAAACCCTAAACCCTAAACCCTAAACCCTACACCCTAAACCCTAGACCCTAAACCCTCTTGTACCCTTGTGCACCTCCAGAGCGCAGGCGTAAAGCACGCGAGCGATGTGCAAGTCCCGCGAAGATGCGGCCTTTCTGTAGGTGTACATGATGTGCTGCTTCGCTTGCTCTTATTTTGGCTTCAAACGGGGGCCCAGCACCGTCTCAGTCAGCTGTTCGAGCACCCCCGCATCAGAACAAAAAGCGTTCTTTTTTTTTTGCAAATGTCACGAGGCTTTGGCCCTGCATCCCGAACGAAGCAAGCCCGCCAGCCCCCAAGCACCTGAACCCTGAACACTTCCAGCCTCCAGCCGTCCTCGGGCTCGAAGAGGACAGGCCCGCTCTTGATGTTCGCCTGCCATGCAGCAGGCCACGGTGCGAAAGGTGTTCAAGTGTGTCGCAGGGGTGCTCAACAATGCCTTCGGAGCAGATGAGGCAAAGAAGTGCGAGGCGGAGTTGAAGGAAGTCTTCGGCGCCGAGTTCGAGGACTCTTCCTTCCCGTCCGTGTGCCGGGCCTTGTCCAAGGCCATCGACGCAGGCTTGGTGCCGGAGCAAGGCTTGCAGACCCTGCGGAACCTGGCCTCGGAGTTTGAGAAGCATGGCTTGGAGCCCGGCTCCGCACTTCCCCGCTCCTTGGGGCTCTCGTCCACGCTGACGCTGAACGTGGTGAACATGGCCGGGGAGAAGGCGTCCTATGAGGTGCAGGCCCTGGGCCGAGTTGTTGGCCTGAAGAGCCAGCTTGCCATTCCGTTCGGGAAGAAAGCCAACCTTACCTTCAAAGATACGTTGCTTCAGGACTCACAGACCTTTGCAGATGCAGGGGTTGTTGATGGCTCTGACCTTCTGTGCGTTCAGGAAGAGATGTCATGGGAAGAAGGGCAGCAGAGTGCCATGAAGGACCTGCTCGACTTCCTGGATGAGGGGGAGGAGGTGGAGGCTGTCGTCTTTGGCGACTGGGGTTGGGGAGGCTACGAAGAGGTCGACGAAGCAGTCCGCATCCCCGAGGACCGGCGGGAGAAGGTGCTCTCACCCTATGAGGCTGGCTCCTAGGTAGGTTTTCTGGAACATTTTTCATTTTCCCCTAAACCCTAGACCCTAAACTCTGAGCCTGAATCCCTTGTTGGGTTGAAGAGGATCATCTTCAGGAGTATTCTTAAGGAAGGGTTTCTTCGGGGCCGGCCGAGGATCCTACATGGAGGGCTGGTCCTTCCTCGGCGGCCACGGCGCCCCGGAGTGCTACGCGGTCTACGTCTACACCAACCAGCGCGTGATCTTCGTGTCCCAGTACGATGGCGCCACCAACTTGGAGGGAATTCCGTTGCGGCCCATGGCGTGCAAGCCGTCCATGCCCGGAGGATAGCCAGAAGCTGGGAAGCTGAAACTGCTTGACTGCGTCATGGCCTTGGGGGAGTTCTGATGAGTTCTGTGTTGCCCCCCGGGGGCCCCACTTTGGTGTTGTTTCACCGCTTGATTGTGTTCAGATTGCGTTCCCTGCGCGATGAAAAAGAGTCGTGTCCCCAAGGCATCCCAGCTTGGACCTCAACAACTCCGAGATTCAAGGGAAGAGATGGCTCCTGAAGGGTTTAGGGTTTAGGGTTTAGAAGTGTCTGCATTTAGGGCTCAAACCTTACAGGGCTCATACCATGGGGTGTGGTATTTTGAAACTCCAGGCGTATGCACCCTGACTTGACCTTGTGGGCTTCTAGTGCATTCCGGTGCTTCAGCACTTCAGGCCCTCAACTCCCCAAACCCTAAACCCTAAACCCTAAACGCTAAATCCCAAGCCTGGCACTGTGCGGTTTTAAGTGTAGGCACTGTAGGTTTAGGGTTTCGGGTTTTGGGGAAAGGGGTTTAGGGTTTAGGTCTTAGGGTGTAGGGACTTCAGAACTTCAGGGGCTTTAGGGCATAGGGTTGAGGGACGTGCGTGTTGCAGTTTTTTCGGCCCACATCCCCGCATGCACCACCACTTCCGTGGGGTCCTCCTCAGCAAGCACCGACGATGGATAGCTCGACTGAGAGCCAGGACACTAAACCTTAAACCCTAAACCCTAAACCCTAAACCCTTAACCCTAAACCCTAAACCCTAAACCCTAAACCCTAAACCCTTAAACCCTTAAACCCTTAAACCCTTAAACCCTTAAACCCTTAAACCCTTAAACCCTTAAACCCTTAACCCTTAAACCCTTAAACCCTTAAACCCTAAACCCTAAACCCTTAAACCCTTAAACCCTTAAACCCTTAAACCCTTAAACCCTTAAACCCTTAAACCCTTAAACCCTTAAACCCTTAAACCCTTAAACCCTTAAACCCTAAAACCCTTAAACCCTAAAACCCTTAAACCCTTAAACCCTTAAGCCTAAACCCTAAGCCTAAACCCTAAACCCTAAACCCTAAACCCTAAACCCCAAACCCCAAACCCTAAACCCTAAACCCTGAACCCTAAACCCTAAACCCTAAACCCCAAACCCCAAACCCTAAACAGGACCTTGTGGCCGAGCAGACTCTGCAACAGGTGGTGCATCTCGCCGCGTCTGTCGCGCAGATCCAGGAGCAGTCCAAACCGACCCCAAAGCCCCGTACGTTTAGGGTTTAGGGTTTAGGGTTTAGGGGTTTAGGGGTTTAGGGTTTAGGGTTTAGGGTTTAGGGTTTGCCCACTGAAGCGACGCGCCTCGACCCAAGGGGTCGTGGGCGGCGCGTCGCGCGAAAGCTAAAACCCCACCCCAAGACCACCCAAACCTTACTCTATTAGGGTTTAGGGTTTTTTTGATAGTTCTCTCGTTGCTTTGTATTCTCTGCTGTAGTTGTGGGTTGTTTTAATATAAATCAAAAGGAAAAGTAAAGCAGGGGGCAACAGTCTGCTTATACGTTGTGTTTTTACGCCCGAGTAGGCCCGGCTGGGAGCACCGATTCCGCGCTCGGGGCCGCGGCGCCATCGCTCGTTGTCACTGCGCTCCGTGGCGCCGCTGTGTACAGGAAGGCTTCTTGTTCTCTCGTTGCTTTTGTGTTCTCTGCTGTAGTGGATATCTGAATAAAATCAGAAATGTTTTACCCCAAAAGGGCCAAGAGTGCCAGAAAGCACCCACGAGGCCCCAAGAGCCACGAAAAGGCTTCAACAGGCCCCCTAGAAGAAGGGGACCTCCAGGATTTGCTCGGGCCCGCAAAGAAAAATGCTTTTTTTAGTACAGAAATCGATGGTGTTGGTCACAACGGAAAGTAAAGCTGGGGTTGCTTTACGCCCGAGTAGGCCCGGCTGGGAGCACCGATTCCGCGCTCGGGGCCGCGGCGCCATCGCTCGTTGTCACTGCGCTCCGTGGCGCCGCTGTGTGCAAGAACGCTTCTTGTTCTCTCGTTGCTTTTGTATTCTCTGCTGTAGTGGATATTTTAATATAAATCATAAACGTTTTTCCTCAAAATTTTAAAAGGGCCACAAGAGTACCAGAAAGCACCCACAAGGCCCCAAGAGCCACCAAAAAGCTTCAAAAGGCCCCCTAGAAGAAGGGGACCTCCAGGATTTGCTCGGGTCCGCAATGAAAAATGCTATTTTTTAGCACCCAAATCGATGGTGTTGGTCACAACGAAAAGTAAAGCAGGGGGCAACAGTCTGCTTATACGTTGTGTTTTTACGCCCGAGTAGGCCCGGCTGGGAGCACCGATTCCGCGCTCGGGGCCGCGGCGCCATCGCTCGTTGTCACTGCGCTCCGTGGCGCCGCTGTGTACAAGAACGCTTCTTGTTCTCTCGTTGCTTTTGTATTCTCTGCTGTAGTGGATATCTTAATAAATATCATAAACGTTTTACCCCAAAAGGCACCAAAGGCTTCAAAAGGCCACCAGGAGCCACCAAAAGGCTCGAAAAGGCTTGAAAAGCTTCAAAAAGATTCAAAAAGCCCTCTAAAGAAAGGGACCCAGGATCTGCCCTGGCCCGCAATGAAAAGTGCAATTTTTTGTAGTGAAATCGATGGTTTTAACTGTCCGGGAGGAGCCCAAAAAGGCTTAGAAACTGTCCGGGAGGAGCCCAAAAAGCTCAGAAACTGTCCGGGAGGAGCCTAAAAAGGCCCGGGAGGAGCCCAACAAGGCCCAGAAACTCCGGGAGGAGCCCAAAAAGGCTTAGAAACTGTCCGGGAGAAGCCCAGAAACTGTCCGGGAAAACAGAAACTGTCCGGGAGCCCAAAAAAGGCCCAAAAAGGCGCAGAAATGGTCCGGGAGGAGCAGGGGATCCTAAATCCTAAATCCTAAATCCTAAATCCTAAATCCTAAATCCAAAATCCTAAATCCAAAATCCAAAATCCAAAATCCAAAATCCAAAATCCAAAATCCAAAATCCTAAATCCAAAATCCAAAATCCTAAATCCTAAATCCTCAATCCTCAATCCTAAATCCTAAATCCTAAATCCTAAATCCTAAATCCTAAATCCTAAATCCTAAATCCTAAATCCTAAACCCTAAACCCTAAATCCTCAATCCTAAATCCTAAATCCTAAATCCTAAATCCTAAATCCTAAATCCTAAATCCTAAATCCTAAATCCTAAACCCTAAACCCTAAATCCTAAATCCTAAATCCTAAATCCTAAATCCTAAATCCTAAATCCTAAAAGTCTTCAAAACGCACTCTAAAGGAGGGGGGACCCCAGCATCTGCCCTGGCCGCAATGAAAAGTGCGATTTTTTAGTACTGAAATCGATGGTTTTGGGCACCCCTCCATGTTGCCCTAAATCCTAAATCCTAAATCCTAAACCCTAAACCCTAAATCCTAAATCCTAAATCCCAAATCCTAAATCCTAAATCCTAAATCCTAAATACTAATTCCTAAATCCTAAATCCTAAATCCTAACGCGCGTGACGCGCGTGACGCGCGTGACCCGCGTGACGCGCGTGACGCGCGCGACGTGCGTGACGCGCGTGACGCGCGTGACGATCCTAAATCCTAAATCCTAAATCCTAAATCCTAAATCCTAAATCCTAAATCCTAAATCCTAAATCCTAAATCCTAAATCCTAAATCCTAAACCCTAAACCCTAAACCCTAAATCCTAAATCCTAATTTTTAAAGGGGAAGGATGGGGTCCTAGGCTTTAGGGTAATAAAATATGCTTTAGGGCTGTACGCCCTGTTCCCTCTTTCAAAGCTGTGAGGAGTGCGTTACGGTGCCAGAAGCTAACTCTTCTGGCACTGAAGAGAGCATCTGCCTCCAACTGCTAGACTGTCGCTACTCAGTTGTCGGCTGCCGTCGCTAGAGGCTCGGCGGGCTCGCTGCGGCCCGCTGCCTTGCCGGCAGCTAATCAGGGGCCTTGCTCGCAGTTTAGGGAACCGTCACCCGAAACCCCAACCTTACAAAGACCGTAAGCACCGGAACCCAAAATTCCAAGCCCCCGAAACCCTTGAACCACACGAAGATCGCATCCTTTCGTCCAAAGACCCTGTTTAAGGCTTCGGGTTCTCCCATTTTTCGGATTCCGGGACTTATCTTAACCCTAAACCCTAAACCCCTAGACCTTAAACCCTACCTTTGCAACCCTTAAAGAAGAACCCCCTAGCACAATGTACTGCCGAACATCTCTGAAGGACGAGGCGGTTGAGCACCTGAGCCCTCAACCCTAAGCCCTATTTGGGTTCAGGGTTAACTTTAGCCCTCAACCCCAAACCCTAAGCCCTAAACCCTAAACCCGAAACCCTAAGGGAGGGAGCCTCCGACGTAATTATTTCCCAAGGGAGCCTCCGGCCGAATCCCATGAAACCTGGGACGAGGATCTCAGGGTAGTTACACGGGCCCTTCATATGGTCCCTTACCTCTCCTCAAAGGGTTCCCAAGTATGGGCCCTTAACTTATACAGGGCATATAAGGCGGATATAAGAAAACCCAAAACCCAAAACCCAAAACCCTAAACCCTAAACCCCAAACCCTTAGAGAGGAGCAGCTGTCGGAGATGAAGGACATCCGAAACTCGGCAGCTCTCGGCGACGGCCGTTCTCTTCCGTGTGCTTCGTGGTTTGGGGGTTTAGGGTTTAGGGTTTAGGGTGCAGGGTGTAGGGTTTAGGGTTTAGGGTTTGAACGG